CTTGGGCGTATGCCCGGATTTACATTTGGATGTTCCTAGAAGTTTTTGGCATTATTTGGCGAAAGTTGACAATTTGAAGATTTGGAATATTTATAAGTTTGGTCGGGAGTTGACTTTGATGATATCGGGTTAGGATTGTGGTTCCGTGAATTTGAATAGCTTCATTATGTCATTAGGGATTTGTGTGCAAAATTTGAGTTCATTCAGATTTGATTTGATAAGGTTCGACACGTGTTTTGAAAGTTGAAAGTTCAAAAGTTCATTAAGTTCAATTTGAGGTGTGATTCGTCGTTTAGATGTTGTTATGCGTGATTTGAGGCCTCGAGTAGGTCCTTGTTTTGTTATGGGACTTATTGGCATGTTCATGCGGGGTCCCGAGGGGCTCAGGTGAGTCTCAGATATGATTCAGAATGTTTTGTCTCATGTTGCATTGCTGAAGAAGTGTTGGTACTGGTATTTCCGCATTTTTGGAGGTTTGGACGCAGATACGAGTCCACAGATGCGGATGATTCATCATAAAAGTGGAAGTGGCAGGCAGGGCATGAAGGTCGCAGGTGCGGGAGCATGAGCGCACCTGCGCGATCGCAAGTGCGGTTCTATATGCACAGAAGCGCGACCGCAGAAGCGGAGAGATGATCGCAGAGGCGGTGGCTGCTGAGTTTGGGCGTGTTCGCAGAAGCGGAGGCCGGGCTGCGTGCGAGTTCGCAGAAGCGAGAATTTGTTCGCAAAGGCGAAAATAGCTGGGCAGAAGTTGTAAACTGAGGGTATTGTTCATTTTTGCATTTTGGAGCTATGGAGCTCGGATTGAAACGATTTTTGAGGCGATTTTTACCACATGAATTGGGGTAAGTATTCTACACTCGGTTCTGATTATATTTCGTGAATCTATATTAGATTTTGTCATTTGGATTATGAATTTTAAAGAGAATTTTGGGTGTTTTGTATAAAATTTTATAGAGTGAATTTTTGAGTTTTGAACATCGATTCGAAGTCGGATTGGAGTGAAACTAGTATGGTTGGACTCGTAATTGAATGGGTTGTCGGATTTTTTGAGCTTTTTCGTGTTCCGTAGCGTGGACCCGGGTTTGACTTTTTGGTCAAATTTGGGCTTTTGATTAAATATTCAACCTTTGTCATTTGGGTTTGTTTCCTTAGGCATTAATTGATGTTTTTGAGTTGCTTTTGGCTAGCTTCTAGCCGTTCGAAGTTGATACACGCGGGATGGCATTTTTAGAGTGTCGTTTGGTTTGATCGGTATTTGTCTTGGCTTATTTGAGGTAAGTAATACTTCTAAACTCGATGCTGAGGGTATGAACCCCTGAATATACGTGTTATGTGTTTGGTGTTGAGGTGACGCACATGCTAGGTGACGGGCGTGTGGGCGTGTACCGTATGAATTATGACTCGATTGATTTGTGTGGTACTGTATAGTTATTTATCTTGTTTCTATCCATGAAATTCGTACTTGTTAGAGAAATTGAGTTGTGATCCATGTTAGAAAATCATGTTTATGCCATATACTTATACTGTTGGGACCCATTGAGGTCGTTTCTAATGTTGAGTTTTTTGCTTAAATTGCAATTACATACTCAGTCATAATTATTTATTTACATATCATATCTTAGTCGTTGTTATCATTTATTGTCACATCATGTTATCATTGTTTGGGCTGATTGGCATGAGATTTGTGAGCCCGTTGAATTGGAGAGATTGATGACTGAGTGAGGCCAAAGGTCTGATTGTGAGTGATATATATGGGTTCGGGCTGCACACCGCAACGGAATTTATTGATTCAGGATGGGATCGGGCTACATGCCGCAGCATGCTATGATTGACTTATATTAGCACTTGGGCAGGATCCGCCCCTCTGGAGTCTGACATACCAGTAGTGAGCGTAGGTACCTACTGAGTGTGAGTGCCGAGTGATTGGGAGATGTTGAGTGATTGAGAGTGTTGAGTGATTGGGAGGTGCTGAGTGATTGAGTGTGCTGAGTGAGGTTGAATACTCCGAGAGCATGAGCACATGAGTTTATCATTGTGATGCATTACATTTGACATACATGCATGGCATGTAGGCATAGAGATGTATTTCCTCATGTTATACGGTATTGTGACATTCATGACTTCACATGCACATTGACATGTAGGCATAGAGATGTACTTTCCTCATGCTATCTAATGATGAAATATCTTATCTGTTGTTGAAAGTTTTGGGAAAATCACATTTTTCTAATATATTCGTATTTCGGTAATTTCGGTGAAAGATTTGGGTTCTTACTGTTATATCTGAGAAGCATGCCTATTTTCCCTAACTGTGAACGAGTTGAGAATCATATCTTGGAGTATTACTTGTAATGTTTTCATTACATTGGTACGAGTTGTTCTTGGTTGTTGGTATTGGACTCTGACCGTTGTCCAAGCTCGTCACTACTTTCAACCTAAAGTTATGTTTGTTACTTATTGAGTATGTGTGGTCGGTTGTACTCATACTACACTTGTGCACCTTGCGTGCAGATTTTGGAGCTGATGTTATTGTGTATAGCGGGAGCTGGCATTGAAGATGTACATGCGTTCCGGTTGTAGCTGCCTCTTGTTCGTGTTAGCTTTAGATTTATTAAAATCTATTTATGTACATTTCAAACAGATGATGTATTTCTTTCATACCAGTTTTGTAAATTCTAAATCTTAGCTGATCATACCAATCCTTGGGATTTTTGTATAAAAGTTCAGTTATTTCATCTATTTTCTCAGTTAATCTCATTTGAATTGGATTGTTGCTATTTGGCTTGTCTAACGGGTTGGGTTAGGTGTCATCATGACTAGTTGAATTTTGGGTCATGACAGAAGATCTATTTAGTGTTTGAAGGACTCAAGCTTGTGTAAAGATACTTAAATGATAGTACTTAAAAATATTTATCTGACTCGTTTGGAGTGGCTCAAAATAAGTGGTTTTTTCAGCAGAAATAACTTTTAAGTCAAAAAGCAATAAGTCGAGGTTACACATTTTATTGCTTTTGACTTGTTTTAAGCAATTTCTAACTTATTTTAAACACTTTTTTACTTTGCCAATTAATGAAAAAGGCTAAAAAAAAAAACTAATTAAAAGTTGATTTTACGAGTTTAAAAGTCAATCTAAACACCTCCTAATTATGTTCTTCCTTTCCATTGCTCCTCAGACATTGAATTCGTTTTCTTTCAGATTTCTCCAGTTAATTTCAAGTTAATTGTCTATGCTAATTTCTTTATCTTCCAATTGGTGAGTTTTCTGCATTATTTTCTTTGTTTAACGCACTCGGCCATTGATGATGGCACTTTAATTGAAATCTGTTAATTCTGTGTTCTTTTGAATACTTTCCTGTTGGATCTCTACATGCATATTGATGATAGTATCAATTTGTACGTAGGTTTATTTTGGAAATAGATGCACAATTTAATTTTTTAGATAATCAAAATTAATTCTTCTTCCCTCTACAATAATGACAATCGCAACAGATCCTTTAACTGGTATGTAAAGCTAATATTGATTTTGCTTTGTGTTAAGGGTAGGAGAATTCTTCAAGAAGGTACTGAAATTAGACATTTCTTCGAAGCTTTTCTAGTCCATTATTTAAGTATCCATGACTTCCATTGGTTGTCTTTCTCGCTTCGCTCTCGAAAAATACTATGCGTCCTTTAATTTTCCAGTTCTGCTAAGTTTTATCACTATTTTTTCCGTTTTTAGTTTCGCCCGGTTATTACTAATGGAATTTTACATGTTATCAGTTTGAACAATGACACACTGAGGATGTTTAATAATATTCCTGAAACAGCTGGATGACCTTTTCACTTTTTTGAAGGTGCATTTCGGTTGCAAATAGATCTCTTTTCATTCCAAATTTATATGGAATTTCTCATATTATTGCACATATAAGTTGACTCAAGTTGTTAAAGGACATGCATATCCATAATCAATTTAAGGATCAACAACAACAACAAACTCAGTGTATTCCCATAAATGAGGTATGGGGAGGATAGTGTGTACGCAGGCCTTACCCACCTTAAAGAAGAACCAGAAGGGGCAAAATAATAGAATCAGATTGGAAGCTTGCCACAATTTGCAAGATCTACCCATTTTCTCTCCTCCAACGCTCTTCTTTTCTCAGATAAATAGCTCTTATCAATCTTTGTTTCTCAATCCCTTTATATCCCATTTGGTTGTTCATCTGTGTTTTTACCTTTGGTTCTGTCTATGCATGTTATTGTTATGGTAATTGAAGTATCAAAACTTTTTGGATTTTTGTTGTTCTTGATGTTATTTTTTGGTGTCGTTGTTGTCGAATTGAGCGATGCAAATGAGAAATAAACCTAATTTCTTAGAGAGAGGAAGAAGAGAAAGGGAAATTGACATAGTGTTCTATATTTTCACCATAGCAAAAAAGAGTTGATACACTGTTATATACAAATCAGTTATGTTAGCTCACAGCTCACACGTGCACATTACGTGTTCTAACTAACTGACTTTGTCTTCTTTGTACTAACTTCTTGACAGCTCACTAACAGCTAAGACTAACTATCACGCTCAGCTTGCACTCTTTCTTCTCTGCATATTCACTCTGCATCTTCCATTACTCCCCCTCAAGCTGGAGGGTGAAAGACATCGAGCAGTCCTAGCTTGGACAGAAGGAGGTGATGCTGGCTGACTCCCAAACCTTTAGTTAAGAGGTCAGCAATCGGAGACTGTGTAGCAAGATACTTGGTCTGAATGAGGCCTTACCTTCACCATTTCTCGGGCAAAGTGACAATCAATATCTATATGCTTAGTGTGCTCATGAAATATGGGATTTGCTACAATTTTGGATGGCTGCTTTGCTATCACAATGAAGTCGGATTGGTCTGGAGATCGGTATAGATAAGTCTTGTAATAAACCAACTAACCATATAATTTCTTCCACACAAGCTGCCATGCTGCGATATTCAGCTTCTGCTGAGCTTCAACTAACTATGTGTTGTTTCTTTGACTTTCATGAGATCAGGGAGTCACCTAGCTTAATGACATATCCCGTGACTGAGCGCCTAGTATTAGGACATGTTGCCCAGTCAGAATCGCAATAGACTGTTAAGTGAGTAGCTGAGGTCTGGCTTAGAAAAACCCCTAAACCAGGACAACCTTTGATGTACCTTACCACTCTCAATGCTGCTTCCCAGTGTGACCTCTTTGGTTGCTTCATGAACTGACTGAGTACTTGAAATGTGAAGCAAATATCTGGGCGTGTGATGGTAATATAAATCAGTTTCCCAACCAATTTTTGATAACTGCATATGTCTTCTAGCAAAGGATCATCAGTGTCACCTATTAATTTGTCAAATTCAACAGTGGTTAGTCTAGTATTGGCTTCAAGTGGTGTTGTGGATGGTTTTGCACCATTAAGTCCAACATCATAAACTAGTTTTAAGGCATACTTTCTCTGATTGAGAAGTATCCCTTGTTTTGATCTCAACACTTTAATGCCCAAGAAATACTTGAGTTCTCCAAGATCTTTGACCTTGAAATTGTTGTGTAAGGTCTGCTTAGCCCCATCAATGAGGTCCTTGTCACTCCCAGTAATAAGTAGATCATCAACATAGATTAAAATAATCACAATACAACCTTCTCTCTGTTTAGTGAACAGAGAATGATCATGGGGACTTTGACAGTACCCTGCTTCTAATAGAACAGTAGTTAGCTTGATATTCCATTGCCTCGATACTTGTTTGAGTCAATACAAAGACTTCAAAAGTTTGCATACCCTATACTTCCCCTGTCTATGAAAACCTTGAGGCAAATCCATATAGATTTTTTCATGTAAATCTCCTTGAAGAAAAGTATTGTTTACATCCATTTGGTATAAAAACCAGTTCTTTGAAGCTGCCACGCTATTGAGTGTTCTGACTGTGACCATTTTTGCAACTGGAGAGAAGGTTCCATGATAGTCCAACCCTTCCCTTTGTGCTTATCCCTTTGCCACCAAGGGAGCCTTGTACTTGTCTATCTCCTCATTGGCCTTATACTTTATTTTGTATACCCACATTGAGCCTATAGCCCTCTTTCCAGCAGGTAGTGGAACTAATTCTCAGGTTTTGTTTCCTTCTAATGCATCAATTTTCTGCTGCATTTTTTGAATCCAAGTGTGATCTTTAGAAGCCTCCTTGAATGATCTAGGTTCTATTGGCACAGAGAAGGATCCCAGATAGGCTTGGTAGGTGGGATTGAGATGAGTGTAGGTCATATACTGGGATATGGGATAGGAAAAATGTGCCTTTGGCTTGACAGTAATGACATAGTCACTGAGCCAAATTAGAGGCCTGGTCGTTCTGCTTGGTCTCCCATGTGAGGCTGCTTGAACATGATCATGCAACTCATGGTGTTGATCTCTTTTTACTGTCAACTCAACTGGTTGGGTCTTAACCTGATCAGATCCTGCAATTGCTGGGGCTTCATTTGTTTAAGGTTGATCCACTGTTTCTCCTGTGTCAGGTGCTGCATCAAGGAGATTTTGTGAATCAATGGCTGAACTTTCTATTCCTGGCATTGTTTCTCCTAGTTCAGGTACTAGTTCCTCCCCTTAGGATGTATATCATGAGGATCTCCTGCATGTGCCTGGCTTATTCCTATATTCATTGTCTCTTTGAACAGAAAAATATCACCCATTCCTCTTGTGTTTCAGTTTTAAAAGGAAATAGTGATTCCCTGAACTGAACATCCCTGTTAACAAAGAATTTATGGTCTTCAAGATTATACAATTTGTAACCTTTCTGTGTTTCTGAATACCCCACAAATACTGTCTTTCTAGATCTTGTTATGAATTTATCACCTCTAGGTAGCCTACTTGCATAAGAAAGGCGGACAAATACCTTAAGATGAGATAGTTGAGGTGGCTTACCATGCAACAACTCAAATGGTGTTTTCCCTTGCAACATTGTTGATGGTAATATGTTGATCAAGTACATAGCAGTTCTAACACAATCTCCCCAGAATTTTATAGGCATCAAACTCTGAAAACTCAATGCTCGTGCCACTTCTAGTATATGTCTATACTTTCTCTCCACAACTCCATTTTGTTATGGAGTGTATGGACAACTACTTTGATTAATCACACCATAGGAATCTTGGATTTCATTGCATTTTGAGTTAACAAAACTCAATACCATTGTCATATCTAAGAATTTTGATGTTCTTGTCAAATTGATTCTTTATTAGAGCAAAGAAGTTCTTCAATACTACAAATATTTCACATTTAAATTGAACTAGACATATCCAAGTATACCTGCTATGATCATCCACTATGGTAAGAATGTAGTACATTTTATCATATGTAGGTTTTCTGTATGGACCCCATATATCTAAGTGCACCAAATGAAAAGGATTACTTGACCTACTGTTGCTATTAGGAAACATTAGTATGCTTTGTTTTGCCAAGGGACAAACTTCACAGCATTCCAATAGTTCAGCATCTATTTTATTCTTGAAATATACAATGTGTTGCATTGCTCCAATAGAGGGATGCCCCAGTCTCCAATGCCATAGCTTTCCACCATTGTCCTCCCTATGAACTGTTGCTCCTACTGCAGGTTTTACTGCTTTTTGTAATATGTACAATCTTTTTTTTTCCTTACCAATCCCTAGAACCTTCCCATTGAAGAGTCCCTGGAACACACAAAAATCAGGAAAAACTAAAGCCACACAAGAAAGCTGTTTGGTTATCTTGGACACTGAAAGAAGATTAAACTTAAAATCTAGGACATGTAAAACATTCTCAAGCTTATAGCTTCCTAAAATTATTGCATCTCCTACATATGTAATCTCTGCTCTACCACCAGTAGACACCTGAACTCTACTGTATTTTGATCTCTTAGTGTTCTAAAAGTAGTCAGCAACTTATTATATGGTGTAATATGATGTGATGCCTATGTGTCTATTATCCATTCACAGGCAAAATTATTGGACAATAGTGAGGTCATACATTCCATGTTACTTGTTATGTTTTTTGCAGAGTCACTTGATGTTGGCTTATTCAGCATATTCAGGATCTGCTTGTATTGTTGTTCAGTGAAGAAATGACCAGTGCCTCTGATGAATTCACATTTTCTCCTGCTACTATAGAATTGGTAAAAGGTCTGAATCCACCAGTTTGTGTGCTCTTCTTCTTGCTCTTAAAGTCTTGTGGATAGCCAACAATTTTATAATAATTTTCTTTCAAGTGCCATTTGTATCTACAATGCTCACAGATTACACCAGGCTTCTTAGGCTTAAAACCTTGGTGCATTCGTCCTGCTAACATTGTTAGTGGATCCCTGTTCATATCAACTACACCTAAGGACATTTCGCTTTCCTCCTGAGACATTATTGCATATGCTTCATTCACTAACACTATAGGTTTCTTTGCTAGCAGATTACTTCTTAGATTACTATAGGACTCATTAAGTCCCATAAGGAACTGCAGAAACCTTTGTGATCTTAAATGCACAACATAAGGCAAAGACTCCTCGCAATCACAAGAAGGTAGGGGAGCTAAAACATCTAACTCATCCCAAAATCCTTCATCTTGGAGTAATATGAGGTGACTGAATCAGTACCTTGCCTTAAAGTGGCAATTTCAGTCCACAAATGATATATCCTAGTCAAACTTGATCTATCAAATCGCTTCTGAAATTCACTCCATACCTTCTTAGCATTAGACGCATACACGATACTGGGCATTAATACATTCACGACAGTACTTCCTATTCATGACAGAACAATTGCGTTGCACTTCTCCCACTGTTCTACTAATTCTTCTCTATACATGCTTTTGACACAGGTTCCATCCACAAAACCTAATTTGCTTTTGCCTCTAAGAGCCAATTTCATCGCTCTACTCCACAACGCGTAATTACCTGGACCTGTGAGCTTCAGAGGGATTAGGACTAGTTCAGGCGTATCTCCAACTTGAAGATACATCGGGTGATTATGGTCTAGTGACGTAACCTCATTTCCTGCCATTTTTGCAGAAATATGAGCTCTTGTTCTTCTGCAACTCACGAATTTACACAGGGCAGAGATCGTTGTCAAAGCACCCGCTCTGATACCATGTCGAATTGAGCGATGCAAATGAGAATTAAACCTAATTTCTTAGAGAGAGGAAGAAGAGAAAGGGAAATTGACAGAGTGTTGTATATTTTCACCATAGCAAAAAAGAGCTGATACACTGTTATATACAAGTTAGTTATGTTAGCTCACATATCACACGTGCACATCACGTGTTCTAACTAACCGACTTTGCCTTCTTTGTAACTAACTTCTTGATAGCTCACTAACAGCTAAGACTAACTATCACGCTCAGCTTTCACTCTTTCTTCTCTGCATCTTCACTCTGCATCTTCCATTAGTTGTGGGGTAAACTTTGTGTCTATGGGATAAATAAGTTGTGTGAGCTTTTACTTAAAGCGGAGGATTTATTTTTTTGATGGGTTTATGCAGTCTCATGAATAATGAATAGATAATTATTTGGTGCGGGATTATCAACCTCCTAGAATAACATGTCCACAAACTCTTTTAATCAGTTAAAAAATAATCCTTGTTTGCATGTCATAATTTGATACTAAAAAAAGGTTCAAGCATGTATTGTTTTGTTACTGATTCTCTATATATGGTAAAATTATGGTATCTAAAAAACATTCAGCTATCCTGAAATAGGGGTCATTGGTTTAAAGAGAATGGATGATGCCCACAATGACTTTACAAGAGGTATCTCTCACTTTTTCTCTTTCTTATAGTCATACAAGCATGTCTCATAGCCTATTTGGTCAAGCTTCTCCAAAGGCTAAAAGTGTTTTTGTTTTTCAAAAATACTTCTTTTTTTAAAAACTTAAGGTGTTTGGCCAAGCTTTTTGGAGGAAAAAAGTATTTTTTAGAAAGAAGCAGAAATAGTATTTGAGAATCAGAAAAAAGTAGCTTTTCTCTAGAAGCAGAAGCAGTTTTGTCTTTTCTTATTACCAGAAATACCCTTAACAAAATATATCATATACCAAAATAATTTTACATATTTTAAACTTAATACTTAAGATATTAATGTATCAAGTATTTCTTCTTATTTTTAGGATAACTTTCTAATATATAGTGATTTCAGGAGTGAATGCTTTTATATTTGTTGAATGACTTTTTAATATATTTAAATTATTTTAAAAGAATTAAAGTACTTTTTAATTTTATTTTGTATTTTACTTAAATAAAATAAAAATATTTAATTATTATGTATAAAAAAAATTAGGTTATTTTATTTACTTATAATATTAACTATTAAGTAAATCTATTTATGTCTTTATTCATAATTTGATATTTAAAAATACTTTTTGAAAAGCTTGGCCAAATAAAAAGTATTCCTCAAAATTGTTTTTCAGATTGATTAGTCAAATACAAATTACTTTTCTCCAAAAATACTTTTTCGAAAAGCACTTCTCAAAATAAGCTGATTTTTCAAGCCTGTCCAAACAGGCTATTATAAAGCAATAAGCATGCCTTCATCTATTTCATTTGCGTTTATCTGTCTCATTTGCTTTTAGATGGTAATTCAAAAAATTCAAATTGAAAAGAATATATATATTTCTACTCTTCCAAAATAAAAACTTTCTTAGACTTAGCAATAAGAGAGTTTTTCCACTTGTGACTGTTAACTAACAATTTATGCATGTCGGAATTAGGGTGACCAACTAGGAAGAATTTCATACATATTATGATTTATGCAGTCAACCAAATTTTAACCAATGACATGTATATACAACCTTTCCCTACAATGAATCCCTTATTTGAAATAGAAAATCTTCTTATTATTTCAATGAGCTTTATTGCAGGTTTTACAAAACAGTTTTGAGGATGTGGCATTTACAGGTTCGAACCACTTTTTTATTTGTACTCTAGATTTTT